ATGTTAGCATCATCAGCAGATGAAAGTTTTTAATCAGCTGCTGATGATACTAACGTAGTTAGCAAAACGCGCGTCCAGTGTAAAAAAAAGTGTTTTGATATATTGTGGAAATTTAGTGTTATATTTAACTGTGTAACACCAAAGGTAACCCCTAACCAAATACGACCTTGGGAAATCGGGAGGGCTGGCATAGCCAGGCAAACGGCGGTATATAGGCTGGTGGCAATTTCGATGCTCAACATTGCCATCCCAGAAACTACAAGAGATACGAATTCAGTTAAATGTGACAAAAGTTGCGTAATTAGAAGTCTGACAAACACCTATGAAGAAAACCCCGATATCTTGATTAGTTTCGGATTTATACCAAAAAAGTGAAAATAATACATTTATTTTAAATGGCAATATCATCAGAACTATTGTATGTATTGCAACGTAGGTTGGTAGTTTTATTTTTTGGACCCCAGCCAATTAAATGCCGTTTTCAGAAAATTTCTAAGCCTTCTAGATTTCTCACAACAACAGTCAAGTTTTTGTTTTCTAATGGCCGCCATTTCGAATTTTTTTCCCATTAGATAGAGCAAAAAATAATCTATACTCTAATTTTTATTCATTATTATGTAAATTCACTAAAACTTAGATTTTTGAAAAATTCGCTCAAAAGATCAAGTAGTCTGCCTTGGAAATCCAATTGACACTTTATATGACAGCTAGTTAATTTTTGTTCCCTCTATTAAGTGTGAAATCTGGACACAAAAATTTATAGTAGATAGTGTAAAGTGTATTAACAGTCAACAATATGTTCACAAGTGAGGAAACACAAGATATGTATGATGTTTACTTAAAAAATAATAGAAATTCCGATATAGCATGCGCAAGTTATAGAACATTGTATCCTGAAAGAACACAGCCTTATCGTACTATGTTCGCAAGAATTTCAAGAAATTTAGCAGTTGCTGGTAGCTTTAAAAACAAGAGGGCTATATTTTAAAAAGCTTAATGAGGCTTTTCTAGTCGTAAAATAAGTCGCGAGTGTTTTATAAGTGGTTTCTGTGGTGATTCTTATGTAGGGAAAATTATCAAAAAACATAAATATCATCACATTTTTTTACGAGAGAAGATTACAATTTTGCAAATGGTTTCGGTAAAGTGTTCAAGAGAGTTCCCTTTTTTCTAGAAAAATATTATAAACGGATGAATCTTTATTTATAAATTATGATACATTTAACAGAAAAAAATCACATTATTATGCAAAAAAAATCCCATTTAATTAGAGAAACCACACAACAAATAAGATATTCTTTGAACGTGTTCCTGACAATAAAATTTTAGGTTCTGTATTGACCCGTATTGAACTCTATTATACAATTTTTATGCGTCCAGATTTGACACTTAATAGAATAAACAAAAAATACCTTGCTGTCATAGAAAGTGTCAATTAAATTTTCAGACTTGATCTTTTGAGCGAATTTTTAAAAAATCTATTTTTTTTAGTGAATTTACATAATAATGAATAAAAATTACGTTCCACCGTATAGATTATTTTTTGCTCTATCTGATAAAAATTCAAAATGGCGGCCAGAAGAAAACAAAAACTTGACTGTTGTGCGAAATCTAGAAGGCTTAGAAACTTTCTGAAAACGGCATTTAATTGGTCGAAGTCAAAATTATAAAACTACCAACTTATACGTCGCAATAGATACAATAGTTCTGAAGGTATTATAATTTAAAATAAACGTATTTTTTTAATTTTTTTACATAAATACGAAACTAATCAGAATACCGGGGGTTTCTTCATAGGTGTTTGTAAAACTTCTAATTACGCAACTTTTGTCCCATTTAACCGAATTCGTATCTCTCGTAGTTTATGAGATGCCAATGTTGAGCATCGAAATTGTCACCACCCTGTATACGGGACACTTGCCAATTAGTGAACACGCAGTGAGAATGATCATCGCTTTTAACGAAGTTTGCCTAAACTGCAATAATACATTGCCTATGACGCTGTCCGGCTTTATATAGGACCCGGAATTGTTTTCTGGAAGGTTACAACTTCGTAGAGCTTGAAGATGTTGCCGGAAAGAGCATAATGGAAGATATCCGTTTCCTCAATGCCATCGAATATCTGTAAACATTTAACAATCCCATCGAACAATTCCTCTAGAGATAGAGTCTCAGAGTGAGTGGCATGAAAACGGAGTCTCTTATAACTGGAGTTCGCCAAGCGATCGTATTCGAAACTTTAACCGATCATTTAATACATTCACCCTCAAGAAAAACGGGCTATTGAAGTCTGTCAATTATACGACGGAAAACAAAATGTGAAAAACGTTATATTTTCGTGAAAGTTCATTTTCGTAGTTTGACACACCCTGTGGCATAAATATGTTTATAAAGCATCAAATTTAAAAATAATTTTATCACCTATGTGCATCTTTTTTCGACAGTTTGTTCTTTGGTTCATCTCTATAGCTTTACTTTTTTAGAGATATTCTCTTTTGAAGAAGACACTAACATTTTTTCGTAATTTTTATTCTGATAATAGTTTAGTTTATTCTGATAAGAGTTTATTCTAATAATAGTTTGATTTTGTTGGCCGTTAGAGATTAAATGAAGAAAAAAAACATAATAAGAAAATAATCAAATTATTACTAATACCGAGTTAATTACTAATAACCTAATACGGTTATATATTTTAAAGGGGAATTAATTTTCTTATATTTATTTTAATTGATATATCTTGACAAAATGGTGAATGTGGTAATTTATTATTTTGTTTATAACCTTGAAGATGGCACGTTAATAAAATATAACAATACATTTCTTAATACATATTAATTATTTATTTATTTCCTATTTACAAGTAAAGTAAATGTGCATTAACTTTAAATCATAATTTAACTTCATATTGTTGTATTTTTAGCCAAATGTAATATTTTGTAAATAATATCTTTGACTCGATCTTGAGGTATTATTCTTCAGGTTATGGAAGGGTAAATGCATCGTGTAAAGACTTCTTATTTATCTAAAATAACGTTAATTAAAGTAATATTAATAATAACCACTTTATATACTTACTTTTGGTATTTGTTTACTTCTGTTCAAGTGGAAATATTCATTGCATTTTGTTAGTTGTTTGGTTGTTACAAAAGGAAACCATATTATATTAATTATATTATACGAAACGATGTACATACCTTTTAATAACAATAATACTACGCTTCAATAATTATTATTAATAAATAATCTGATTGTGATTTTTTTGTTTAGATTAATTAATTGTGGTTGGTTAGGGCAGAAACGTCAAATCATCAACGGGTCTAACGGTGTTGCCAGCTTCTTGAAGTTTTCTTAAATCATATTTCACCTCATTCATATTTAGTCTCTAAATAATTAATTTTAGCATTTAACTTATTTTAATACTTTTATTTATTAATGATCTTAAACTCTTATCAATTGTATCTAGTTGTAATTGCATTTAACTTATTATTATTGTTTGATTTATTATTAAGTTTCTTTTATTATCGGATTACTCCTGGCAACATTGGTACTTAACTGGTTGCGGATGTACCTAGGGATAGGGATGGCAGAAAAAAATAATAAATCGATATATCGTACCGAACGATATATCGTAATGCATATATCGATGTCGATATATATCGGACAAAATATATCGATATATACCATATATCGATACATTTTTATAAAAGTAAAAATTAAAAGAAAAAACGGGCCTAAAGGATTCTTATATTTGGATAATAAACATTTATTAGTTATGTCATAACTCCTAGTTAGTACCGTATTATCGAGAAAAAACGGCGTCAGCGATAGCTATGGAATGAAGATCGCTGTCATTTTAAATGTAAATTTATATGGGAAATGTCATTGATGTTCATTTCCCAGCCAACTGGACGCCTTTTTTTTCGATCATACGGTATTTACTTTGTTATTAAAAGTGAAAGACAAATAACATATAATAACAATACACATAAAACAAATAACATAAACATTTAGATCTAGGTTAATACCTACTAAACTAAAAACCATTCAACTGATGCTGACAATCTGTCAACACCAGCACAGCACTATACTATTATTATAATATTAAAATATTAATTAAATTATAAACATAACAAACTAAAATGAAAATTTTTCCGGAAGAGATCCTAGGAAAAGAAGTTTTGATAGTCTTTTCCCAGTTAACCGATTACGGTTTTTCGTCATCGTTGCTCCAGCTTTTGAGAACAACCGTTCACTGGGAACTGAAGTGGCTACCACACTTATGTATTTTTGCGCCAGTTTATAAAGATTGGGATATACTGTTTTCATTTCATCCCATATTTCCAGTGGATCTTCTTTAAACTTCACACTGGCACAGATAAATATTGATTTAATTCGTCAAACTTTTCTCCAGTTTTTCTGCTCTTTTTCGTATGTGCAATATTTTTGTGATGGGCCCACAAGTCAAAGTCGCCTGCTCTTCTTCACCTTTATCAGTAAGATCAGAAGATGAAGAAGACTGATCTGAATTGCATTGGTTATCTCATTTTTCAAATGCCTAATAATAGTTGAGAGGGCAAGTGGATCTTGGAAATGAATATTTTTAAATCGAGGATCTAATATTGTTGATGCTGCCAATAAAAACACTTCTCCACATATCCAAATCTTTTATCAAATTCCTTTATGATTGATTGAAGTTTTAAGGTTTCTTGCTATTTCTGTATCACAACTAGTTTTATTATACTGTGATGTTAAACATCCTATCATGGGAATTATTTTACTAAGTGTGACATAATTTTGTCCACTCATTTCTTTGGTTGTTTGTTCCAATGGATGAAGAAGTTGGCAGATCTGCTTTAATTCCTCAAGCTCTGTGGCATTTACCATATTTGGTGCATTCATATTGGACAAAATTATGGTTCCTAGTAGTGGAGCTAATTTCAAGAACCTTTCTATCATGAAATAAGTGGAATTCCACCTTGTTTTTATATCTAGTATTAATTTTAAACAATTTCCTTCGAGGAAGTCCCTACTACTTTTTCAATTAAGGCTAACAAGTTTGCTGTATTTTTTACAGCATTTTCACAAAGCAAGTTTAATGTATGGGCAAAACATGGTACGTGCTTTTGTTTTCCCACTAAATCCTGCGCGGCTTTCACCATATTTGCACCATTGTCTGTTACAATGGCAACTACTTTTTCCATGTCAATGTCCCATTCGTTTAAACAACTAGCCAATATTGATGAAATATATCCTGCAGTATGTGATTCATCCAGTTCACTAACTCCTAAAGTAGCTGAAAGCATAAGTAAATCTTTAATGAAATGGATAGTAACACCAATAAAACTTTTTGGCCTACATATCTGCAGTCCATATGTCTGTCGTTACAGTAAAATGGTTTATATTCTTTATCATGGTTTTGAATGCCCCCTGACATGACCTCAAACTGTTTATCGACTCTATCTTTTATAGTATTTCTAGTTGGAACTCTATACATAGGGGCCAATTCTTTCATTAAATTAACAAATCCTTTGCCTTCAACAACGTTAAAATGGCATGTTATCATTTATTACAAAATCAACAGCTTGCGTTATTTTTTATATTTTTAGAACCGCCATCTGGAAGTAAAAGGGAATATTATAATATGTAGCAGTCACAGTAACATTTATGTTTCTATTTACCAGAGAATGAACGAACATCTTTTATTACTTTTGTAATTGTTGGCTGTATGAAACTAGTTTCTATTGAGCATCTAGTACCACTAGTACTGGGAGTAGAATCAATCATTTCAAGAGAAGCCAAATGCTCTTCAACAACCACCCCACTACTTGATAGATTCCCTTCAGATTGAAGCGTTATTGTAGATGATGGAGAAAGGGGCCTGTCATTTATATCTGTGGCAATACTCTATAAACATAGTTAAGGGTTACTATTTCAAACAATGCCTGAAAGGTTCACTTACTTCCTTTGTTTCAGTACGGGAATGTTTTATTTTCTTTGCCGGAGCTTCGTCCTCTTCATTACAGAACAATTGTTCATAAACATTTGTATGTTTTTGTTTGAGATGATTCTTCAAGTTAGAAGTATTTCCAGACGTTTTCAATTTTTTTGAACAAATTTTGCATTGTGAAAGTTCCTTTGATACTTTTGTAAAGGATCTCCAAATAACGGATCGTGATGCCAATGGAGCCATGATGTCACAACACTAAGTACAATCACAAATCACAACACTTTTAAAATAATATATTGTGTATGATATATTGAATAAGTGTTGATAACAGTTGATAAGTGTGGTTTGACTGGTTTGGTTTGGAAATGGTTTGGACCAGTTTGGACATTGGGTTTGGATGACAAAAGACAACTGACATATTGCATGACAATTGACAATTCAAGGTCCATTTATAGAATTGGCTATACTAATATCGATATATTTTTCGAAGTATCGATATATTTTTCGATATATCGCAAAAGACGTATCGATATATTTTTATCGATATATATTCAAAATAAATCGATATATCATATGTATCGATATATCGTTGCCATCCCTACCTAGGGATTTTATAGCTAAATTTATATCAGGAAGGGGTATCGATATTAAAATTCCAAGCGCCCACCTGTCTGGTGATTTCCTTTTTTTTCTTTTCGGCACGCTGGCAGTGAAGTCACGTTTTGAGTTGGAAAAATCCTTTCATTTGATTTTGGGAAAGGTTAATAATTCTCTACGTTTAATTGATATTATGTATATCATACAGCTACGGCTGGATTGAGACGAAACTAATAGCGTTGCATCTTTTTGTATTATTTCAAAGGAAATCGCCCACAGTTTGGGTAAGTTAATTTTGGTTTATTTAATTATCACGTGGGACAAATTTTTATTGGGTTAATTTTAAATTAGGCACCTTGATTTGGTTTTTCTTTTTACGCACCAACTTGATTCCACGAGGGTTTCACGACTAGCTAGCGAGGTTCCTGTTCAAACCTTAGACGTTCCAAACCAACATATAATCTAAGGGAAGCCACGTGGTTGGGCCTTCTGGTTGTGCGGCAGATCCGGGCGTAAGGGGATTTTTGGGACCCTTACGAATAAAAAGCTAAGTACCAAACTCTTTATTAGCTCCCTCTCGTTCCTGCGTACTTAATAAATATTGTACCTATTTTTTTTTTGTTGCTTCTGATTAGTTTTAGTAAAGACCATATATTTAGTAATTTAAGTATCATTTTATATCGTGGGTACCCGTTTGTCATTTATATTAAATTTTAGTAGAGTAGGTAATTTTTTTGTCTTGTCTAGGTTACACTAACTGGTCATCTAACGGGTAACCAGTATTATCAATTGTTGCAAATATTTAATTTATAATATAGTCATTTTAATTTCCCTATATTATTGTTATAATTATTTAAACCATTTTAAATTGTATTGTTTCAAATGATGAGCTACCCTACTCTGAATAAACGTCTGTCTTGTTAATCTGTGTTTTATTGTGTAATTACATTAAACTAAAATTTGGTGTTTTATATAGGTACAATTTTGAACCCACCTCCCAAACGGGAAGGTAGCAAATGGCGCCCGAGCAGTTGTAAGAGTCCGCAGGAGAGAGCAAAGCATTTCATCAGTTTCCATCATCGTCAGGATCACCAAGAAGTCCCTACTCATCAATTTAACAGTCAACAGTCTACGCTGGATGTGCCAAGTCCAACCTAACTCTCGAGTAATTGGATAAAATTGGTAGATATATTTATTGTAAACTGTGTATTTTTTCCCGCATTTTTTTTGGTACTTTGCACTCTATTTTTCTGAGATTATAAGAGGGTATTTTAAAAAAAAATATAGATTATATTTGCTGGTTAGATTGCTCAATTGGTTTATTCAGCTTTCTCTTTAAATTTAAAGTTTGAAATTTTTAATAGTAAGTTAATTGATAATTTATTCTGAATTTATTTGAATTTTTTTTTAATCTTTATATAAGTCCTATTTTCTATTTCTATTTCGTATCATAATACTTATCAAAATGATGAAAATTGAACCTGATAGGCTCGTAAAGGAAGAGCTTGAGTATGAAATTAAGATTAGAGGAATTTTACCAACTGGAAATGTCAAAGAGTTAACAAGGACACTTCGTGATTTGCTAACTTTAGAGAACGAGGGTCATTCATTTAGTATGAAAGTTGAGTTTGATGCTGAGAGTGAAATTAAAATTTGCCAGGAAAAATTAATAGATCTTGAATCTCTGATTAAAGCTCCACTATCGGAGGCCATTATTAGAAAATTAAAATCAAAATTAGGGCATTTAGTAGGTCGTTGTGAGAGAATTACTTCCAATGATAAAGAAATAATAGAAATAAAAGCAAAACTCTTAACTGATATTTTTAAGTATGTATCACTTTTTCGAAAGTTGTGTGAGGAACATAAGGGATCGTCAGAACCTTTAGATATCCAATTTCAGCAAAGTTTAATAACTTCAACTCCCAATAGGTCTAGTTCAAATGCAACTGAAAATCAAAGTGCAACTGGGCTGCCAGTATTAATGAATAATTTAAGTCTTAACAAAAGGGTTAATTTTTCTTCGTGGGGTTTAACTTTTAGTGGGGATTCAGATACAATGGGATTAAATGCATTTTTAGAAAGAATTGAAGAACTGTGTGAAGCTCATAATGTGTCACATGATGATTTATTCAGGGGTGCTATTGAAATTTTTGAGGGAAAGGCTCTTATTTTCTACAGGGCATTAAAAGGGAAAGTTAATGATTGGAAAACTTTATGTGAACATTTCAGGGAAGAATTTTTGCCTAGGGATTATACTGAAAGGTTATGGGAGCAAATCAAATCAAGAACTCAAGGGGAAAAAGAATCCATTACAATTTATGTAGCATACATGACTAATTTATTTAACAGATGCTCTGCATCAATAAACGAAGCTATGAAACTAAAAATTTTGAGAAAAAATATTTTACCATTTTATCAAACGCAGCTAGGGTTAGTGGACATATCTACAGTGGATGAACTTATTAAGCTTTGTAAACGAATTGAGGATAGTAGAGTGAATGTTTTGAATTTTGTACCGCCAACAGTAGATAAGCACTCAGTTGAACCAGATTTGCTATATAAGGCTAATGCGATTGAAAAACAAAGTAGGAAAAGGTTAGATAGTTTGGAAGCAGAGAAACAAGTCAGTTTTAATTTACAACCAAGTAATAAACAAATTTCAAATAATAAAAGTAGAAACTATAGTTCAGATAGAGAAAGTACAGATAGAAATGCTCACTTAGGTAGAAATAGAGAAATTAGTAACGATAGGTTAAATCGGGGTAGCGTTAGGGAACAAGACAGACGAACTGGGACAGTAAATAAATGGAGAGATGGGTCATATGATAGAGCTAGATTTTATAGGAATAGGAGTAACGATCGTTCGAGTAGTGTTGAAAGTTATAATGGGGACAGATTTTATCAAGACAGAAGTAGGGAACGTCATAATACCCCAGAAAGGTATTATAATAAAAATAGGTTAAGTAGAAATAATGATTATTTTGCTGGGAATCAGCCTAGGGAAAATAGTTTTAATAGGGGCAGGTCGTCCTGTAGGGATAGATCTGATTTAGGTAGTTATAGGGAACATAGAAATAGTAGGTATGATAGTTATAATAGGGATTTGGATAATAACACTAGAGGGAACGTCGTTAAGTGTTATAGATGTAATGGGGATAATCATTTAGCAAGACATTGTAAAGCGCAGGTCAGAAAGTGTTTTTCTTGTGGGTTATTAGGTTATACAAAAGTTAGTTGTCCAAAATGTAATAAACAGGGAAACGGTTCGAGGAGTTAAGTGTAAACCGAGCTTCAACTTCGACGGTTTTATCGGTTGATAATTTTGGCTTAGATTCTAGTATTGATAATTTTTGTTCTAAGGATGAACTGTTTAACTTTAACACATATAGTAAACCAATTTTAGACTACATGTTAACTCAGGCCGGAGATGGTGAATGTCCATATGTTTCAGTTAGGTTATATGATTGGGAAGTAAAAGGGTTGCTTGATTCTGGGGCGAATAGAATATTTGTCAATGAGCACACTATGAATGTGATGTTAAGTTTAGGGGTAAAACTACAAAATGTTTCTGACATGACTTGTACTGTCGCAAATGGCTCTGAACTCGAGTGTCTAGGATTTATGTCAGTGCCAATTAAGCTTAAAAACAAAATAGTCGTTTTCCAAGTATATATTTTAAACAATCTTAGGCATAGGTTAGTGCTAGGAACCGAATTTTGGATTAAAATGGGGATTGTACCAGATTTGAGAAGGGGTGAATGGCATTTTGGGGAACAAGATCATAAAGATATCTTAGTCACAAATTCTATTTCAACGTCAGATGATTTATCTTTAGCACAACGAGAAAAGTTAAATATTATTGTAGAAAAGTATTTTGATTCAATAAAACATATTAAGTTAGGGTGTACATCGTTAGTGGAACATGAAATTATTGTAACTCAAAATTCTCCAATTAAACAGAAAAATTACAGAGTAAGTCAGGCAATCCAAAACAAAATTGACTTAGAAATAACAAAAATGTTAGAGCTAGGCGTAATTGAGAAAAGCACAAGTTCTTATAGTTCTCCAATAGTAATGATTCCGAAAAAAGACAACACATATAGGTTCTGCGTTGATTTTAGGAAAATTAATTCAATTTCTGAAAAGTGGGCATACCCATTACCAAATTTAAGTACTATTTTAGATCGTTTAGGAAATGCAAAGTATTTAACAACATTAGATATTCAAAGCGCATATTGGCAAATAAAAATGAGTGAAAATAGTAAAAAGTATACTAGCTTTGCAATACCAGGAAGAGGTCTTTTTCATTTTAATAGAATGCCATTTGGCTTAACTAATGCGCCCGCTACTTTTCAGGCATTGGTTGATAAACTTTTCGGTCCGGAATTAGAGCCATATTGTTTTAAATATTTGGATGATATAGTAATTGTAACGCCTGATATTGAAACTCATTTTTCGGTATTAGAAGAAGTATTTAAGCGTCTTAAAGAGTCAGGGTTAACTTTAAATAAAGATAAATGTCAGTTTTGTCGGAGTGAATTAAAATTTTTAGGTTACATAATCAATAGACAGGGATTGCAGGTAGATCCAAGTAAAGTTAGTGCAGTTGTAGACATGCCAAAACCAAAGTCAACTAAAGAAGTTCGTAGAATTTTAGGTATGATATCTTGGTATAGACGGTTTGTACCACATTTCTCAAGTTTAGTATCGCCTTTAACTGATTTAACCAGAAAAAACGCAAAATTTGTTTGGTCTGCCCAGTGTGAAGAAGCTTTTCAACAAATTAAAAATTGTCTAGTCAGTGCTCCAATTTTATCTTGTCCAAACTTTAATGAGGAATTTATTGTTGAATGTGATGCTAGTTCATATGGGTTAGGGGCAGTCGTTTTGCAAAGGTATGATGGTCAAGAACACGTAATTTGCTATATGTCTCGTACATTAACCAGATGTGAACGTAAGTACACAGTCACAGAATTAGAATGTTTAAGTGTTATTTGGGCCGTAGAACGAGCCAGATGTTATTTAGAAGGGACTCATTTCACAGTTGTAACTGACCATCATAGCTTGTTATGGCTCCATAATTTAAAGAACCCTCAAGGTAGATTAGGTAGGTGGGCATTGCGCTTACAAGCTTACGATTTTAATATCATTCATAGACCTGGTAAAGAACACAAAGTACCAGATTGCTTAAGTCGACAATTAAAACTCGATATGTTAAATATAAAACTAGACACGGGTAAAACAGACAATTGGATTGAAAAAATGAAAAAAAATATTAATAATAATCCGTTACAATATCCAAATTGGCGTATTTCGGGAAATGGCGACTTGTATAAACATGTAGGTAAACATAGGGATCATGTCAATGACGCATCCTGGAAAAAAGTAGTACCAAAATCTGAAAGAAAACTTTTATTAGCTAAGTATCATGATAATCCTTTAAATGGTGGACATTTAGGTATTTTTAAAACTTATCATAAAATTAGTGAACATTATTTTTGGCCTGGTATGAAGTCTGAAGTTTGTAAATATGTAAATAAGTGTAAAGTGTGTGGTGAGCAAAAGCCTGAACAAAGAATGAAAGCTGGAATGATGGGTGAAAAACCTGTAGTTAAGCGGTGTTGGCAATACGTGGCAACAGATTTAGTAGGTCCATTACCTCGTAGTAGTAAAGGTCACCAATATATTTTAGTTTACTCAGATTATTTTAGTAAATTCTCATTATTTTTTCCATTACGTAAAGCTACTGCTTCCAAAGTATCTGAACTTATAGAACAATCATTTCTCTTATTTGGTGTGCCAGAATTTTTAAAAGCTGATAACGGAGTACAATATAAAAGTAAAGAATTTAGTGCATTATTAAATAAATACAGTGTAAAATTTTTAGCCAATCCTCTTTATCATCCAGAACCAAATTTTACAGAAAGGGTTAATAGGGTAATAAAAACAATGATCTCTTGCTATGTTAAGGAAAATCATAAAAAATGGGACCAATATTTGCTTGAATTATCTTGTGCATATCGAACAGCAAAAAGTGAAGTTACGGGTAATACGCCTTATTTCGTGAATTTTGGTTGTGAAATGATGGTGGATGGCAAAGATTATAAAAGAGAGCGTGAAAGGGATGAGTGTAAAAGTGATAGTGAGAATGTGAAGACAGAGGGAAGGTCAGTAGTGTTAGAGAGGTTGCGTAAATTGGTAACAGAAAAATTACAAAGTGTCCATGAGAAAACTAAACATCAATATAATCTTAGACATAGACCAGTAACATTTAATGTTGGTGATTTTGTGTGGAAAAAAGAATACAATCTTTCGGATGCGGCTAGAGGTTACACTGCTAAATTAGGCAAAAAATACACAGGTCCTTATAAAATCAAAAACAAATTAGGTATAAACGTATATGAGCTAATGGATGAACATGGCACATCGAAGGGTAACTGGCATGTAAAGGATCTGAAACCGTATAAGGGGGAGGCCGAGCCACAGTAGCATTTTTGTTGTTTTCTCTTTTCGCTAATTTGCTTATTACTTTGAAAGGTAGTTTTTGTGTCTTATGGAGTGTCGGTATTCTTATTAAAAATATTCTATTCTTGTTAAAGATATTCTAAAAAAAAAATATTCTATTTTTTTTTCCGTAGGTAAGGGGGGTATGTTACGGTTATATATTTTAAAGGGGAATTAATTTTCTTATATTTATTTTAATTGATATATCTTGACAAAATGGTGAATGTGGTGATTTATTATTTTGTTTATAACCTTGAAGATGGCACGTTAATAAAATATAACAATACATTTCTTAATACATATTAATTATTTATTTATTTTCTATTTACAAGTAAAGTAAATGTGCATTAACTTTAAATCATAATTTAACTTCATATTGTTGTATTTTTAGCCAAATGTAATATTTTGTAAATAATATCTTTGACTCGATCTTGAGGTATTATTCTTCAGGTTATGGAAGGGTAAATGCATCGTGTAAAGACTTCTTATTTATCTAAAATAACGTTAATTAAAGTAATATTAATAATAACCACTTTATATACTTACTTTTGGTATTTGTTTAGCTTCTGTTCAAGTGGAAATATTCATTGCATTTTGTTAGTTGTTTGGTTGCTACAAAGGGAAACCATATTATATTAATTATATTATATACGAAACGATGTACATACCTTTTTAATAACAATAATACCTTCAATAATTATTATTAATAAATAATCTGATTGTGATTTTTGTTTAGATTAATTAATTTGTGGTTAGGGCAGAAACGTCAAATCATCAACGGGTCTAACGGTGTTGCCAGCTTCTTGAAGTTTTCTTAAATTATATTTCACCTCATTCATATTTAGTCTCTAAATAATTAATTTTAGCATTTAACTTATTTTAATACTTTTATTTATTAATGATCTTAAACTCTTATCAATTGTATCTAGTTGTAATTGCATTTAACTTATTATTATTGTTTGATTTATTATTAAGTTTCTTTTTATTATCGGATTACTCCTGGCAACATTGGTACTTAACTGGGTTGCGGATGTACCTAGGGATTTTATAGCTAAATTTATATCAGGAAGGGGTATCGATATTAAAATTCCAAGCGCCCACCTGTCTGGTGATTTCCTTTTTTTTTTTTTCGGCACGCTGGCAGTGAAGTCACGTTTTGAGTTGGAAAAATCCTTTCATTTGATTTTGGGAAAGGTTAATAATTCTCTACGTTTAATTGATATTTATGTATATCATACAGCTACGGCTGGATTGAGACGAAACTAATAGCGTTGCATCTTTTTGTATTATTTCCAAGGGAAATCGCCCACAGTTTGGGTAAGTTAATTTTGGTTTATTAATTATCACGTGGGACAAATTTTTTATTGGGTTAATTTTAAATTAGGCACCTTGGTTTGGTTTTTCTTTTACGCACCAACTTGATTCCACGAGGGTTTTCACGACTAGCTAGCGAGGTTCCTGTTCAAACCTTAGACGTTCCAAACCAACATATAATCTAAGGGAAGCCACGTGGTTGGGCCTTCTGGTTGTGCGGCAGATCCGGGCGTAGGGGATTTTGGGACCCTTACGAATAAAAGCTAAGTACCAAACTCTTTATTAGCTCCCTCTCGTTCCTGCGTACTTAATAAATATTTGTACCTATTTTTTTTTTGTTGCTTCTGATTAGTTTTTAGTAAAGACCATATATTTAGTAATTTAAGTATCATTTATATCATTACCAGATTTACCCGTTTGTCATTTATATTAAATTTTAGTAGAGTAGGTAATTTTTTTTGTCTAGGTTACACTAACTGGTCATCTAACGGGTAACCAGTATTATCAATTGTTGCAAATATTTAATTTATAATATAGTCATTTTAATTTCCCTATATTATTGTTATAATTATTTAAACCATTTTAAATTGTATTGTTTCAAATGATGAGCTACCCTACTCTGAATAAACGTCTGTCTTGTTAATCTGTGTTTTATTGTGTAATTACATTAAACTAAAATTTGGTGTTTTATATAGGTACAATTTTGAACCCACCTCCCAAACGGGAAGGTAGCAACCCCAGATTCAATTACAGCGTTTATCCGTCTCGGATTACTTTCCTGAAATAAGTCCCCAGTTCACCTGTTTAGTCCTGCACTTAAACAACTCCTTTGTTATAGCGTAAGGGCCCCAGAAACGTCCGACTCAAAGTTGCCGTATACCTAATAAGCCTGCATAGTACAGCAAATCCCTTAAAGGAAGCCAAATATTTTCTTTAAAGCTAAACAATTAAAGGTGCCTTAAAACATTAATGGAGGAGCGTTGTATGTAATTATTTTCTTTGAAAATATAAATAGCATCTGTTAACTTGTTAATTTAAGCGTCTTAAGTGGATAGGGCAGCTGTAATGTAATACACAGATTGCGTATCGTGTTGTTCCACTATGAAATAACTACAAACAAGGTTTTTACACATAAAACTTTCATTGAAACAAACCATTCAAAAGATTTTTAGGGTTTAATTTAGATCCAAATCTGATTTTTTCATGTGAAAAGTATTTCGGGGATTACTGGATTCTACATAAAATTCTAAACAAATTTTGTGTGTTTTTGAAATATTCTTTGAATAAAAAAGACAAAGAAAGTAGTCAATTTTATTTATACAGGATGAGTCTTAAATAAGTGCAAATCTTTTCAGGGGTGGTATATTTCAATACCTACGGGATATATACCGTATGATCGAAAAAAAAACGGCGTCCAGTTGGCTGGGAAATGAACATCAATGACATTTCTCATATAAATTTACATATAAAATGACAGCGATCTTCATTCCATAGCCATCCGCTGACGCCGTTTTTCTCGATCATACGGTATATATATATATATATATGCTATATATATATATATATATATATATATATATATATATATATATATATATATATATATATATATATATATATATATATACAGGGTGCTACAAATTCGGAGTACGAGCATTGGTATCTCGGAAACCGTAATAGATACGAAAATAGTTAAATTGGGGCAAAGTTGCCTCCTGGCATGTTCACCAAGATGCCATCAAAAAAGTTTTAAAAATTTCAAGAATTGCTGAGTTTTTTTGGAAATAAACGTTTTTTTTTTAAATAAATTTTATTTTTTCCTGTCGTTACTTTGCATAAAATCAAAAAACTAATTCCACATTCTCATAGCCACTTTATTAGGGCTATCCGAGAGTATTTTTAGATTTTCAAATTATCTGATAATTTGTGAGATACAGAGGCCAACTTATTTCTTTTAAATACGGATCTGCATTTTTTATTTCAGGTTTTGAAAAAACTCGGTCTTCTGAGTATAACGATATGCACACTTGATACTTTTATTTTGTTTTGGGTGCCTTTACAATAACAAAACTATTTAATTGTTATTTAAAATTATTTCAAGTCCGACTCTGGTTTTTAATTTATTTAATCTGATTATATTCATCGCAACAATATTGATCAGCGCTAATTAACATTGAATAAGGAAAATGAAGCCAATTGCTACCCAGGTCAGCAATTTAAATATATTACTTCTAACTTTTTTTATTGTGAATTTGAAATCTCAGTGTACGATCTTATAATATGCATATTAATCGTAGTTATTATAAATAAATCAACTTCTACAAACTAGTTTCTAATGTTCGAAAGGGTTAACACCCTCGATAATGCAGAAATTTATTTTTCATTCAATCTTATTTATAGTTGTTTGAATAGATCTTCTTATACATCCGAATGTATTTTTTACACTTTAATTGTTTTTTTTATTACTCGTTAATTGTTTATGTACTCTTAATGTTGAAATGTATAGATTTCACTTTTACAAATGACATAAAGTAATTCAGGAACCTCGCTAGCCATTATACTCCTCTACCATTTCCAATCCATCTTCCGGGGAAATGATTTGATTGTTTATATTATATTATATTTATATTATTTATTTTATATTATTTTTTATTATTTTATTGCATTTTATTTTCCGTATTCAATATTTTACCCCACGTCATTGTTAAGTTTGAAAGCTTAACAATATTGTAAGGATGAATAGATTAAATATTTTAACAGAGCCGGACTTGAAATTAGTTTAAATATGTTGTGTTCAAATGTCCAAAATAAAAAAAGTATCAAGTGTGGCATATCATTGCAGAATCTCAGGAGACCGAGTTTTTTCGAAACCTGAAATAAAAAATGCAGGTCCGTATTTAAAAAAATTAAGTTGGCCTCTGTATCTCACAAATTATCAGCTAATTTGAAAATCTAAAAATACCACCAGATAGTCCTATAACTAAGGAAGGAGCATAATGCTATCCATGTATTCATGCATGGTGGGCGGAAAAAGCACTCTATGGTGGGGATCCTTGACAGTTCTGTTTGACGATTCATTTGACACATTTGAATTTGATTTGAAATTTTGTGGATTTGTCAGTCTTTACGGAGCTTATTTTATGTTATTTATTATTTATTCTACTACTGATAGTTGTATAAAAGTAGTAAATCTAGATGGAAATTGTGGCAGAACTTAAATTAACAGCGATTATCGCGATTTATCGAAAAAGACTCTAAAATAGTTGGTTGTGTAGCGTGCGCTAAATAATTGAGTGAAATAATGGAACAACTTTTCGCTAGTAGGTGACTATATAATATACATACGTGTAGTAAACCGATCATTTATGAAATTCACTTAAATTAACTAAATTATACATTTTTCTTGCATTTTAGCTTTTATTTATTACTTGTCAAAGATTAGATGTCAAAGAATGTAGATACGTTAAATTGACTTACCTGCTTCAGTAGCGAATCGGATGTTTGTGTTAATAAATACTTATTATATATAACTTATCTATTTTTATTAGAATTATATATTTTTATAACAATTTTAATAACTACCAACATTTATTCACAACGTAAAATAAAACAACAAATTATTGAGTCTACCCCACGTCTACCCTACATCATAGTTTTACATTTTTTAAATAAAATTAGAACGACACTGATAAACCGGAATTTAAGTCGGCCATATTTGAGGCCTATCGCGGTGTACCTAAGATTTTTGATATGCTCCTTCCTTAGTCTTCTTATTCAAAGGTCCTATAGGTAATAAAGCGGCTATGAGAATGTGCATTTAGTTTTTAGATTTTCTAAAAAGTAACGACAGGAAAAAATATAAATTGAATTTCAAAAAAATCCGTTTTTTCCAAATAACTCAGCAATCCTTGACATTTTTAAAACTTTTTTGATGGCATCTTGGTGAACATTCTAGAGCGCAACTTTGCCCTAATTTAACCATGTTCGTATCTATTACGGTTACCGAGATACCAATGCCCGTACCTTGAATTTGTAGCGCCCTGTATATGAGGTATTTTTCGCAAAAAGAGGTGTTGAAAATCAGTGCATTTTTTTAAATATTCCTGTATTTTGTTCTTAATATGATCTTTGTTGATCTTGATCTGATGTTTGTTGGTTCCCTTACTCTCCCCTTTTTCGAGAAGTGAGAGACCTTTTGCTTCATCTGGAGCAAATCTTTCGTGAAGCAGTCGAATATATCTTCGTACTCCTGTTCTGCTGAGATCTACTTTCAGCGGATCGTGTAGCTAACCCAGGCCGGGTAAAGGAAACAGTAGCTTGTGTAGCCTGTTGGGTCTAGAGGTCCTCCCGACCTTACTAGAGGAGGTGGTAGCTTATGTGCCACTTGTGGAGGCTGGTCTCTCGCAAGTGTTAGCTGCCTCTCTTGTAGTTCCCTTTGGGGTTGGTCCCTTGGAACTTGCATTGTTAAATGTTCTCAGTGTTTTTAGGAGGTTTTCCTCCAGCTGCACCTCAAGGATTAATCGGTCCACTTCTAAAAAGCCGCATATAGAAGTAAGGGAGAAGTGAATACAATGGAGTACCCCCTGGTGCCCTAAGGTTGAGACCAGTAGTAACTAGTCTTCTATCTAGCCACGCATCTCTTTGACGTGGTCTCGCTATCGT